TCTGACAGCAGCGGCTTCATAAAGAGCGCAGAGCGTACAATGATGTTCGAGCTATTCAAGTACGACGGTCTTTTCACCGTCCAATTGTACAGACACGCGAGAACGTGCGACATGCGCGTGTACCGCCGACGACGACGTGCAAAGGTAGGAGAAATTAAATTAAATTTAAATTAAGTTCAATTAATTAAGCGGCTCTCCCCTCGTGGGAACTAGCGCTTCTACGCCCGCTCGTTGTCCTCGAAGTTCACCTCTCACGATAGGACCGCTCGGGAGGGTGGTGATTCTTGTCTGGCGCCGGATACACGCGCGCAGGAACTAATCTCTTTTAAATTAGTATTAAATTCTAAACGCTTCCGAGTCAGTACGTGGTATTATTAAATTCCGCTGCGGTGCCACGTGATGCTGCGAAATTTTCTCGCGCTTCGACCGAGTCGGCACCACCGCTCGATGTTTTACACCGATGATAAATACGATGGTACTCCTCTATTACTGGCTCCGCCAGCGTTACGGTTTCCGCAATATACGATGCGATCTTTCATCTCCAAAATTGTCTCGACGAGATTTAAAGACCGTTTCGAAACATCTGTGAATTTTTAATGATACGCGATTAATAACATCGCGTATTGAATTTTCATTGCAGTTACAATATCCTTGAGACATGAAAATCACCAAAAATATAAATAACGTATTTTGAATTGTTTATTTTTATGATGGATTTAAAATAAAAATAAGAAAATCTCAGAAAACAGACTCGCGTAATTAACATATAAGAAATTAATAATAAATACCATTTTTTTTCGTACGTATGTGATTGTAACAACGCAACAACAATTTAAATTTTATTCCGTTCTAAGCCTGCATTTTGCTACATATCTGGATCCAAAATCGCATACATTGGATCGAAACTGATGCTGTAAGTGACAGGTCGCAAGACACTGGCACCAAAAGAGATATACGATAACGGCGGACAATTCGGGTGAGCTTTCGAGCCATCGTCGGTACCGTGCCAAAGAGCCGAGACTATCTATACCGCCATTCCCGTAGCTACTGTACACATATATACACACAGTATATATATATATATATATGTACCTCGGTATTTAAGCAACCAATTACGTCGTACACCAAACGATCGTAACGGAAGATCGTAATATGGGAGCAGCGACTTTACGCCGGTGCTACCTTATAAATTTTCTAGAATTGGCCTGCGCTGTGTCGAAGAATCATGAGGCACGCATAGCCGGCAATAATGACACCGGGAGAGTGTGGTATTAAAATTTCTGACAAATAACACAAAAAAAAGTGCCGTCGTGCCGCCATACATTATGTGCGCCGCAAGTCGCCATGTGTGCTTTACACGCATTTTTTTCGCGCGCTAACTACCGACAGTGCGATCAATACTGTAATATCTTTTGCAACGCATTTGTGCTACGGGCGATTTAAAAAAATATATATAAATGATATATTCTGATAATTTAACATTTTTTAGTTTATTATTAAACTCCACAAGTTTATGTGTATAAAAAGCTCAAGTAAAATGCGATACAATGATGTTAGTGCGTCAAAAACATTAATATGCGCATTAATATATCAGTTTTAACAAAGATTAGTTCAGTGGCTTGAGTTATACATTTTGATGCAACTGAAAGTTTCTGTCTACTTTACAACAAGCGCATTTGTACCTACAGTGTTCTTTGCTCGCACTAATAGAGCGCATCTACAGCCTATGTTGCAACTTACAAAATATTTCCGAGAAGTTGTGGCTGTGCGCCGCGTTGAGGTCACGTTTCTGACCCTAGAAACCGACCTCACCGAGGCTAAAAAATGAATCTCTTTCACTGTAAGGCAAGATAAGTGCCAGAACGGTCATACATTTTTTATACAAAAAAATCTTCTTCTTGAAAACTGCTTTTTTCGATAAGCGAGATGATTGCGCATTAAAATTCTTCTATGAATTAAGCAATCGAGCTGTCTCGAGTAAATAAAGTGCTTTATAGAACTGCGCGTTCGGGACAGTAATGAAACTTTAACTTCGACAATCCAGCCTTCGGCATGCTTCTTCCCCTTGATGTTTTTCGTATGCCAATCCAAGTACACCCCTTAACGCATCCCTTGATCTCTTATATCCCGACTGCTCCGAAGTAAATAAATCACCACGTCGCCTCAATATGTTCAGCACCAAGCGGCGATTACTTACGTTAAATAAATAGACAATAACCACGGTGAGTATTGTGTTGAAGAACAACTCGTTGTTAACCAGCAGAAAAATCAACATTATTTCGGAATGATTTTATTATAACACACTTGGGTGCACGCATTTCAGTTTTTTTCAAAATAATTTTACAAGTTTATTACAGAAATAACTTTTCTTTTTTTAAATGTAATTTGTTATATCTAAAAATTACTATGTTTTTGTCTCTCTCTCTCTCTCTTTCTTATATTTTAATCATTCAAATTTTATATTCTCTTGATATTAGCGACAATGATTTGTTTAACTACAATAAAAAAATTAGAATCTAAAAAATTGAAACATATGCATTCAAAAACTTTGTACTATTGATTGTAGTGGTTTGATAAGTCGTGATTTGATAAATAAATTTACTTATTGATTAAAATTACACATATGAAGAGATCATTAAATTCACGTGTGAACCACAATCATAAGTAGTGATACGTTTGAAAGTGTTTTTGTTACACAACCGTTGTTATCTGAACATGATTATAATGTTATTGTAGATATTGAATTTTATTATCTTATATTACTTTTATTTTTTAATATAATCTTTGTACGATCGTGCGTAATTAATTGATTATACTTGTATGTGATGTTTTTCTGCGAATAATTATACATTATGATTATGAAACGCAACACACAAAGTAGTATATATAATTGTATATATAATTGTCCTTTGGACTAGGTTTTTCAATACGAGAAAAAACTATAAATTGATTAATGTACGTACGATCGTACAAAGTTTATATTTACAAATAAAAGTAATATAAGATAATAAAATTCAATATCTACAATAACATTACAATCATGTCCAGATAACAACGGTTGTGTAACAAAAACACTTTCAAACGTATCACTGCTACACCGAAAAAATTGTATTCTTGTTTTGAGGATATATATCCCACTTACTTTAAGTATATTTTATACTAAAATAGGCGTCAAGAAGAGTTTCTTATTTTAAGAGAAAAATCCTGTAAATAGTAATATTGATAAGAATATATACTGATTAAAATATAAAAAGCCTTTATAGAAAAACATATATATCTCACTATCACACACACACACACACACACACAAAAGACTATATTCTTAAATTAAGAATATATTCTTAAATAAAGAATATATTCTTATATAATTTCAGAAGAATATCATCTAAAATCTTTAAGAAGATTTTTTAAGTATAAAATCTTCTACTTACGAGAATATAATTTTTTTGGTGTATGATCGTGATTCACACGTGAATTTTTTTAATGATCTTCATATGTGTAATATATATATACATATAAGTAGTAAGAGATATTAAATCAAAAACTATCTTGAGACGAAAAGTGAAACAACAAAAATTTAAATATTCTTCTCTTAATATAATTGTAAGACAAAAATTAAAGTTTTCCGAAATATAACTTTGTGTTATATTTATTTTTAATACATAGAAAAGAAGCGCAAAAATAAATGAGTACAGCGATATGGATTTGGCGTGTCACATTTACGACGCTGACACGGCGTGGATAATCCGGGACATGGTATGATGCACAGCAAATCGGAAAAGAGGAAAGAATTCGATAGTCTTGCAAATAGAATCCGAACTGACGTAACAGAGAAAAGTTGCATGCAACGTAACATATCTCATATCGTGGTGACTTGTTTCATGCATATCTGTTTTAAATCTTTTTCTTTTGAGAGATGCGTAAAGCGAATAAAACGTATGTTTCTTTCTCTCTCTCTTTTTTCTCTCTCAGTTAAGTTCATATTCATATATCAAATACATGAAGACATTTGAGGAGTGAAAATAATTTGTAAAATAATATGCAATAAAGATTTAATATAATATTCAAAAATATAAATGTTTGATACAAAAAAATCCACTCAATATGAAATTTAAATTTGTAATTTCTGAATAAGCAACTAAGATAAATCAATAGTATAACATGAAAACATGTAATAAATAAATAAATTTAACATTTGAAGATGTTTTTTGGGCTTGAATCGCGTTGGTGTCATTTTTATACTGACGTTTTGTGGACATTTTCTGATACAGTTCTTGAAATCCTGATGAAGTAAGCTGAAATGTTCACGAAATTTCGGTATAAAAATGACACTAACGCGGTTCAAACCCGAAAAATATCTTTAAATGTTAATACAACACACCGCGAAAGCATTAAATATCAGAATAAATGAATTTACTTACTAGTTAATTAGTGTTTTGTTGATTTTTACACTCGATAATATCCGTTTTTCGAACAACGTTTCTATGCAATACGCTCCTCACTCTGATGCGTGTATCACTTATTAATATATGTATCAATTCTTTTCAACCAATTTATATACAGCGCTCCAAGGTTACAAATGACGTAACAATAGTAAACGTAATGATAGCAACCTAATGGGACTTTTAAACAATACGTATTTTTATCGGAAAGAAAAAAATCTAAACCGGCTTTAACACTGCCGCGGCTGGCGGATAACTGAGCAGCGGATGCTTTTTGCCTTCTTATAAAACAAATTATTGAAAGCTAGGTAGTGTACATCAAAGTTGTGAGATAGCTCGTGATAATGTTGAGTGTAGGAAGGTTGAGGTTGAGTGTGTTTTTTTATTACAAATTTTAAATTATTATTACGTTATATTTATTAAATTAATATGTTATATATTCTCTATCATATTATTATATAACATATCTCTTAAATCATCACCGAGTATACTCAGAGATACCCATCTATTTGGAAGCCCTTGCAGTACATGTTATATTATAAAATCTAGTGCTCTCCATCTCTACAACTCGACTTTTATTTGAATGCTTGACATTTAATCGGTAATAATAAATATAGAAAGTATGTAAGTGTAGAAAGTAGTACAAGTATAGAAAGTAGTTTTATCTTGAGAGATGCGCAGTATTTATCAATAAAATGCTTTCTTTTATTGACACAATTATCATATATTTGAATGTTTGTTTCTCGATTATTCACGCGAAAGTTTAAATATATCGTAAATCGCATATAACAAAATATATATTCTACAAGTATATAAATATACTATACGAAGAATTCACGCATACACACTAAGTTTTTTTATTATTGAAATTTTTCGTCACTTGTTCACTCAATCTTTTTTCTCATATATGACTTTCTATAATAAGCTAAAAACATATAAAACATGAAGACAATTTGAGACATATATATATATGCCAACGGTTTCCGCGTTGGTTCGCAAGATGGTAGAAGCGCTTGAATCGTATGCACTAGCATAATAGAAAATTGGATCTGAAAGAAAAATGACATATAATTCTGATTTCCTGTGACAAACAAACCATGCATATTTTTAATAAGATTTTTTTTGTACAATTAAGTTTATTAAGTTTTATAATAACTCCGTTAAGCTATTGTATATTTACAATATTTGAAAATGCGAAACGTATTGCAGTGAAATCTGATTTCTAAAGAATCTATTTCGGGCAAAAATATTAGTAAACGTTTGCAACAAAGTATATAAAAATAACAAAGACACATAATATTTATAATGTAAGCTTGACAGACTCGATATACCCGTTTGCAAAAAAGAACACGCGCTTTTTGTTTTTCCCTCGTTCAACCTCTCGACGCAAATTCTAGAGAGCGCAAAAGCTCCGCGCGAAATTAAACAACCACGTAACCCGATAAATCGTTCCGTCGATATCGCCGGGAATAAAAATTCTCTGGTAACGGATTATTTAATTAAAAACGGTACCGCGAGCCTTCGTCCTCCCTTCTCTCAGTTTCCATCCCTCGTGTTACGCTCAAATGCAAACCGAATTGGGATTCGACGAGAGAACACGTGTGATTTTGCAAGCAACGCTTACGGAGCTTTTCAATCCCTCGTGAAAAGCCAGTTATCGAGTTATGAAATCGCTGTAACCACAATGAAGTCCGCGCATATAAACATGTATCGCGCAAAACGCGCAAACGTGTCCCGCGTGAATCTAGTAACCACACCAAAGGCCTTTGCACGTTCCAAGATTTTAGTCGTAACCCTAAGGTCGTAAGCAAATTAATCAATCACAGGTTAGCATTATTTTACGGTAGTGAGAATGTTGCTTGCAATTGGTTGGTTTGCTGTACGGTTATTGAGCGCTTTAAACACTTAAAAGCTCACGATCGTTTACTTTGGCGTTATAAGCACTCATAATAAACATAACATTGACAACATCGTTATATCTCATATTCACAATCACTTTGTAAGAAGCGAACAAACTACAGTTTATTTATAGTTATTAATTTACCGTTATTGGTAACTTAAAATTTTAAGTAAAGAATTTTAAATCGCTAAAAATATTTAAAGGCTATTCATAGAACATTTTTATCGAAGTGACAATATCGAAGTGATTAATTGCAAAGTAATTACGTACCAATTGCAAGAGAGTTATGTACTTCTTCCAAGGAGTGATTATCTTTTGTACTCTTGGTCCCAAACAAGCGCAGAGGTAGTATATGTACATTACTACGTGTACCGCGCAATTGGGCAACATTACAAAAGTCCACATACCACCTACACATTATTTTTATTATTTAATTATTATCTGCGAATATCACAATATAAAATGATTCGTAAAATCTTAATTTCTACTTATTGCAATTATTGCCATCATATTGCGTACCCGGTGCGTATTTGCAAGAGATCCACGCCATTAGGAGGGTTGATGTATGATGATGTACATGAAGAAATGACGTTTGATTGTATTTTTTTCTGAGAATAAAAATGACTGTGTCTGCAAGCTCGATAATTTTCAAAATCAAAACCCACCATACCCATCGAGCCATCTACAAATAAATACACCAACAGCTTTCATTAATACTCTCAGGCAAATATTGAAATCTCTTTGTATGTAAAATATACACTTTCCACTTTTTTTTTATTAAGTAATTACTTACGCTAAGCGACATAGGATCATCTGAAATCACGAAAGGCTCGCATCCCAGAGAAAGATGTGTCATATACCCAGATGAAAGTAGCTAAAAATCATATAACATGATAATTTTGTTTTTACATGTAAAATAAATAATACTAATAGTATAATGCATAATAAATGATATTTTTTGTGTGAAGAGAAGTTATAAGTTACATTTTCTTATATACTCATTGTAAATTGTAATTTAATCATTATTACTCACACCATAAAAAACTATAGCGTTTGCAGTTGCAACAAAAATATTATAACAGATCATGATTCTGGTAAGTGCGTATGGCTGTCTGTTCTTCATATAAAGTGGTCCGAGGTAAAGTACGAAAGACAAGTAAGCAAGAAGAATTAATCCTATGCCAAACGGATTTGACATCAAAAACCAATTGGAAACTCTAGGATCTGCATGTGAAAAACATTGCAACTGTTAGCCAAATTGCAACATCCACTTTTATTAATTCGCACACTTAACTCACCAGAAATTTCGTTGAGAAGATAATGATAAATGTCCATGATGCACATATCCTTGGTAATTAAAAAAAAAACAAACAAACAAAACCAGAAGAAAGAAAGAAGATATAATGAGACCATTATTTACATTCAATAATAATTAGTAATTGTTGAATATTAACGCAAAAATAATAAAATAATAAAAGCAAAATGATAAAAAAAATTAGTTACAAAAATTGTATCGCATTTTACGTTTCCTTGTTAATCTCAACACAGATTTAGTAAAATCTTATAACAGTTAGCACTTTATGTATTATATAATAGAATTAACTACTGAAGAAGCTTACACATGTATCCAATTCATATTAAAATTACGTACCTTTGAAGAAAGCAATTCTTTTGGCAAACGTTTTCCACATTGTGATTCCAATTTATACATATTTAATATTTAAAAAAGAAAATAACTCTTTAATATTTAAAAGAAAGTGACGTAAGTATCAACAACCCTTCGCGTCGGTAACCAACTGTGCCTACTGCGCTTTCCGCTCATCTAGAGGCCAAGAACCCCCTGACATCGGTTTAGAACGCAGGGTTGTAATTGATGTACAAAACGCCCCGTGAAAAATTTCTTGTTGAACAATCCCAACATACAAAAGAAGCAAACTAATGTAATTTTTTGATAAAATTCAAGCTTATTATTTAATATTTTTATACACGTATCTCGTATAACATTAAAAAAATACACAGTACTTAAAATTTTTATCAGACCTCTTTACACGCGATGATAATACTTACAATATTTTAATTTTGTAGCAAAAACTCGATATGTTTTATTAAATGAGGTAACACTGACATATTAAAAAATAATAATGACACACAATATCAAAAAACAAATGTCACATATGTGCGAAAGATAACTCTTGAAAAGATATAAACGTACAGTCATGGTGAATAATTACATTCCGGCTAGTGATAAGGCTTCTTCGTTATTTCACTATAGATAACCGACTTTATACTTGACATCATGAACTGAGTAGATAAGATAGTTACAAATTGAAGGTTTGTAACAGTAGAAATAAAAAATGTTGAATATTATCTTTCGTAATTAAGTATTTTTGCTACTGCGTTTTGCATACCTGAATTAATCTTTGCATCTTGAATTTATTATTTCTTCTTCTCTTATTATCGCTGTTTTTTATTTTAAAAAACACAAATTACAATCTAATCCTTACTCACACAAACACAATGTCTATTTATAAACATCTAATAAATATTTATAACTTTATGATCTCTACTGAGCATAGAAGTCACTCTATTAGAGTTTATAAAAAATGTTGTTTTGTGTGAGTTTGTACAATCGATCATGTGCATGAGCTTTCGCAGAGGAGAGCAAACTCGGCATTTAATTCCCTCTCCCTGGAGAGGTAAGATTTTTCACAAATTGTGTTTTTTATCTTGAAACAAGTTTGAAATCCGTGGTTAACAAATTAAATCATACATCTATTCGTGAAAACTCTCTGTACAGTAAAATTCATAATTTTTGAAACGGAAAAATTGCTCTACTCCCTCCTGAAAAAAATCCTGCGAACGTCCATGATCATGTGTTTGGACAATCATCCTTAAATATTATTAGAAAGTGTATATATAAATATTACAGTGAAGTATTCACATTTCTGAAGAGAAATAAATATTAAGTAAAGTCACAAAAACCAATTTTTAAATTATGCTTTTTTGTCAATGCCATCTATATATTTTAAGAGCAATACGTTAAAACCAATGTATGCAGTTTTTACCGTTAGCTGCTACTAAAAAAGAGAAAACTCTGTTAAAGTAAAATTATATTTTTTATATATAGTATAAAATTTTATATTAATAAAAAATATTATAAAAATATATTCTTAAAAAAAAACAACTATATATTTATTATTACTATCAGTTGGTAATATCAACTGATGAAAACTATTAAAACTAACTTACGAACAGACGATATATAGACGTGTTATGTTACATCGTGTTCAGCTTTTTTGTTACACATATGAATATATATACATCTATGTAATAAAACTGTTTGAAATATAAAAACATAAGTAAGAATTGTTTTTTTTGCTTTGCACGCGTTGGTTGTTTTTTGTTTTTAAATGTGTTCCAGATTTTCTTTTATGGCAAATTAAACATACTTCATCACACATCTATATTAATATACAGAAATACCTTTTTCCAGAAAAGCAAGAAATATTCTCTCTGATAAGACACTGTAGTCTTCTTCAAGATTTTGAAGAATTAATGAATACGTAGGTATCTTTAATTTAAATATTCTTTATGGGGATGGATAATGTATGCTTAAGTGCAGTAGTAAACACTTGAAACATTGTGCAAGCCCTTAACTTACATGTAGTCTAGTATAGCTCCAGCTTAAGTTACAAAGTGCAAGATGCATATATAAAGGGGAAAAATGCTAGGAAGGCTACTTTTGCACATATTTGCATAAGTGGCTGCATCTAAAATCTGATAAGGGGAATAGAAGAAGCACTTTTAAAACATGCCATCTTGTCTTGACTAAGAATGGTACTTTAGAATTCTAGATATATACATACATAATGCACATTTCAACAGTTATGTAATAATCGAGTTAAGAAATAGAACAGCCGTGATATGAACCAAGAAGCAGGGTGTAATGCTAATTGATATATGATATTATATGATATTTATTTTTATAACACATGAAAAATATTTCATTATACTTTTTTTATAAATTTATTCAAATATTGTTTTTACAAATCTAAATTACATAAAATAAAATGTACTCTTCTATTTTGCTTAACTTAATGTCATACTTCTTAAAACAGGCTTCACTTATCACACATCTTCTTTCATTCCTTTTATATCTCTGATAACCAGAAGTATTAGCTTAATGTGAGCATTTGTTTTTGCAACTGCTTTCCGCAAATTGACAATTTGTTTCTCCAAAAGTTTAATTCTTACATCTATAACAACTAAAGCTTCCTCTAAGGTGAATTCAACATAATGTCCTAAACCAACATTCAGTAAGATTGTTGAAGCATCTGGAACATGTGCTTGAATAAAGAAGCTATTTCCAATATCGAGTTTTGTTTTGAAACCAGTTTTCTCAATATCTGTGTTTTGAAACGTTGTAACCACAGATTTTAATTGCAAAAACTCCGTAATAGCATCATTCTTGGCGTCAAGTCTTTCAGCCAAGCTCGCAAGATCCGCTTTGAGCACTTCGTTCACAAAGGTCTCAAATTTGAAGATCTTCTGTTCGGTTTCGGGATCCATAGGTAATTAGATCTAATACATATTGTAGAACTGCAACAAAACAGATACAAAAATTAATTAATGTTATTTAACATAAAATACATAAACAATTAAATATGCATCTAATCAAAAAGACAGTTTTCTTTTATCTTACTGGAAGGACAGAAAATCTATAATGCGTAAGTATGAAAGTTTTAATTCTTTATTTCTACCAAACAACGGAAAATCACCAAACAATTGAATTTTTCTTATAGGTTAGGTGCTATATACAAAACACCCACAAAAACGTTGGCACGATGCTTATATATAGTAATGTCATTCACATTAACAAATTTAGTCTAAAGTGTGCTAAAATCGACAAAACTTTAGTATGAAATATGTTTCTCACAAATATAAAAAAAAATAGTTACACAGCGCTTTTTGGATCGTGCACGATAATGTGCGCCATCTTAAGATGGCAGATGTCGCCAGCAAGTTTTAGTAAAAGACGATCAATAAAGTAACAGTTGTTAAGAAAGATTCCTACATATGTTTCATAATTGCTTGTTGATTTTTCTGTATATTATAATATCGAACTTTTTGTAATAAGTTTATAGTTTGTAGTTATTTCGTGCCAAGTTTCAAAACAGTTTATTCCAAAAAGTTATATCGGAGGTGTTGCCGGCGCGAAATCACTACGCCGCGAGGAACATTGTGAAGTGATCGGTACTATCGGAGATGTTGTCGGCGCGAACAACGCAAACCACTACTGTGCTTCTTGATGATTCGATCTTTCTCTAACTTACACTTCCTATCTTTTTTTCTTTTTCTTTTGTCAATGCGCTCGTATATGTATCCCATCTGTTAGAACTTATGCGAACATGCGCATTACAAAGGCACACAATTTGAACTTGGCGCGAGGCACTACTGTGCCTCTTGATAATAAAATTTATTGTTTATGAGTTTTCCATATTTGTCCGTTCTTGTTTTTATTTGTTTACCTCGAAAAGAAACTATTGAAATAGATATTATAAACTTGGTTTTTATATAATAGTAGTAAGTGCATTGCATAAAAACGATAAAATTACTTATATATATATATTTGCAGAACTATTCAATTTTTGGTGAACAAATGATCACGTGTTTCGCTCACGCATAGTCTTGTTAATAAACAGAATAGTTATTAATAATTATGTGTGTGTGAATCACAAACAAAATTTAAAAAAAATTATTTAACGTTCACCGTGACGATATAATATTTCGCAATTTTTTGCAGAAATACTCTGATCGGTAGTGCAGTGTCGATAGTATTTTGCATAATTTTATAGAGTGCTGCTCGTTTATGCACACAGTCAACGTACGTACATACGCGCGTAAAACACCTTGGAAGGTAATGACCGGCACTTACGGCAAGTATCGGTAAACACAATGTCGTAAAGAGAGATCCTGCATGATACATATCTATATTAAGAAACTTATGTATCGAAACATTTATATATTATATATTATATATCAAGAAATTGATAACACAAGAGTTGGTTAGCAATATACTCATATATGTTACACGTGCATCATTTTTATGATATGCGTATAAGTGAAATAAATGTTTTGTCTGCTATTTTGTTTTGTTTTGTTGTGTTTTATCTTCTGCTCAATCACCTTTATCGCATTTACGATAAAGAATCGAATAACACTGTCCTAAGCGATTGTACGTGTAAAGACAAGGTTTCAATGAATAAATACGAGTCTTATGTCACAAATGCTAGCAATATGCATTAAAAGCTCATTATTTCGTGAAATCAATTGGCATAAAGACTCCGAAATAAATGACAGATTGATATTACATAGAGAAATACTCGCGCAAAAATATGTACGCACGACAAGCGGTAGCAGTCTTGAGGAAGGAATTGAAAAAAATAAACGTGTAATTAGAGTTCGGAACTCGACGGCTAAAGAGATGTATCTGTAAAAAGCTGTCAAGTACGGTGCATTAATATCTCAAGATTTCTTGTATAATTAAAATTTTGTAATCATAACAAAATTGGAACGCAATCTTCTCAGCTTAAATAAATGTCGACGCACATGTTAAAGTTGTTCAAAAGAGCAACTTTCACGAGATGTAGATTGCGTATAGTAGTACCAATGAAATATGAATCGCAAAAAAGAAAACAAAACGGTTATTCATTTTCAATTTTTACGTCGTCATTAACAACTGCAAGAAATGCAGCGCGATAAAGCGATTATCTTCTTTTCAGTCTTTCTTTCATTAATGCGTCGTTTGTTTACTCGCATCGTTCTAGCAACGACACGCAAAAAAAAGAGATATCTACCTTCCCGTGATGCATTTATCTCACGCTGTTCTGCCATGACTTTGCAAGGTAAATATTCCGAGTATTCGTTTTGGAATTGCACAGCACAAAGGCCGGATCCTTCCGAAGTAGAAAAACACGGGCAAAAAAAGTTTTGATTTACTTTTATACACTACTTTTATACAGCTAATGAGAGTGGTCGTGATTGTCTTGCTTCAATATACCATATCACATGCTTTTATTCTGCGGCAAACCAATATCGTATATAACAATCAATGAGATAATATCTTAGAACATCTTTTCTCTTGAAACATCATCGTGACAAGATTTTTTCAACATTCTCATTAACGATTATTTTTATTATCTTTGTTTTTGCTCGTTTTGCAACGATTTTTTTCTATGCTATAATAATTTAAGGTCGTTTTGTTAAATTTTCCATTGTGTGTGTGTTTTCGGTTTTGTATATATATATATATTTAGAGCAGAGATTTTCGCACGTCTCGCACAAGACGATTTTGCTAATTGCAAAGATTTAAAAAATAATGGAAACAATCGAGTTGTCGAAGTGTCACAAGTGTATGTTCATTTGTCACCAACGGTGTTTATAAATTTGCATAAACGATTTCAGAAGCGGGCGCAAAGAAAAAGTATTGCCGCAACGACTTTTGTATTTAATTAATTGGACCTACCGCCAACCGAAAAGACACGCTGATGAACCGATATCGCGAGTCGGAAAGTGCGTTACACGCTTTCTCTCACGGTCGTGACATTCAGGGCCGGGAATAGAGTTTTATGAATTTTGCGACCGGTGTCGGTGCAGGAGGTACGAGAAGTAACACACATTTCCAGTGTTTTCTTTACTCTATTCGGAAAAACGTTTTAAGAACACAACACGCTTCGGGGCGAGAACACTTATTGTTCGCTTATATAGGAATCCCATTTAATCCTTACCTGAGACGCGTGCGGTTAGGTGCGAGCACAGTTCAGGCAGCGTAGGTGTATCGCGCCTTTTTACGAGCGCCATCGCGGCGGAGGCTGTTTGTCAGGGTTATCTGACAGCATCCGCAGTATAAACCGTGATTTATATCGCAGATAATATTTTAGTCATACTTTTAGCGATTTCATAAATTATCGATGTACCTCGGTTTACCTTACGGTTGAACCAATTAAACGTAGTAAAGGGTAGGAGGGATACAAGCATTATGTCACCTTTAACTTGCTATAAAAAGAAATGACTCAAAACTACATAAATGTAAATCGTTATTATGGCGAATCGTAATGACGGAAACGATTTCTCTGTCGACAGAATTTTCGTCTATCATTTAATCTTGTTTTTCCTCAGCTTTTTGACGACTCTTTAGAAACATTACCGAATGAATCACAAAATACAGCTAATATTTTTTTTCGCATCTTTTTTGTTCAGTGTAATCACAAAATATTCTGTAAGAGAACACTGTGACGTATTATGTTACATGTAATTTAACATTTACTTTTATTCGAGCGAAAAAATTTATGATCGTTTAACAATATTCTTCCAAATTTGTTATTTAGTCGCGTGTTTATTTTACGATGAGTCTGCAGTTTCGGCGATTTGGATGGATGAGATCAATTTTGTTTTAGCGTATGCTCTTTTTTTTCCAGCGGCCCTGCCTCGAGCACAAGTAACATCGCGCCTGCAAATTCGTGTGATGGTATGCGTGACCGGCAGATGCACGCGAACGATATGCGCGTACACACATCGAAACGCGCGTGTCATAAAGGTTTATCTTCACATAAGACGCAGAAGCGAGTCGCAGATCTCGCGGAATTGGCCAATCACGTTGATCAAATCGGTCAATCAACCAACGTGATTGGTCAATTCTGCGAGATCTGTAATCTGAGACCTGCATTTTATGTAGAACATTTTTAGCGTCTTTTATGTAGATGGTTCTTAACTGAGCATGAGTGTGCGAATTGCCTATAGGCTTGTAAAAATCGTCGCAACGTTCAAGTTTGCGGCGCTCCAAGGACCATAAAGTGAGAACTGCTTATATAGTATTGCTATATATATATATATATATATATATATATATGTATATATAATATTACATGAAAGACACGCCCATATAACCTTCCTTTTCTCAGCGAGAGCTACGGATCACATCGTCAAAGATGAGAATTGCAATAGCCCGGCTGTCTCCATCACCGGCCCGCAGCGTTTAAAATCGCCAAGACAGCCGCTTTGGAAGAAGATCGAGAGAGGAAGGTAAGCTCGAGGAGCAAACGACGATCGTGACGAAGCGTAAGGCAAGTTTAATGGTGGTAGTCCGTCGTATAATCAAGTCTTCGAATCAACGTCTCATCCGCAACATATTTTCGAACAAACTCTGATTTTGTTAATTTTAAAATACAGTCATATAAAATAGTATGTATTTCCTTTTCCAGACAATTAGGATTATTAAAATCATATTACAGATAATTTAAATTATTTACATTGAAAAAAGATATAAATATATTTTATACAATACCTTATTATTTATATATTTGTACTTTATATGTATGTATATGTATATAATTTTGTTCTTAACTGTTATGAAACGAGTTTTGTCAAATGTTTCAAATAGCTTGCGGTGTATCGAACGCATGCATTCCAAACAAGATAACCCTCTGCTTAAAGAGAAGAGAAGCCGATAAGCGATAATGTAATAACAGAGAGAGAGTCAAAGTTTATACCATTTTATATACATAATCTATCCTTCATTTTACTCGGAACATGTACGTATATTTCTGTTATTACAAAAACTCTACGTTCTTTCACATTTATCGCTTTTTATAATTCTAAATAATTAAATATTTAACAATAATTTAATGAGCACTCCAATATTTAGTAACTACTTTTAACTTTTTTTAAAATATTCTTAATTCTGATCAGATGTAATCTCAGAATTAATTTAATATCACACGTGATTTACATCACATTTATCATTGTCGGCTCGTTGCGGCGAGAGATGAAATTTCACTACTACGTTCTTACTCGCCTGTAACGCGTTTCCCTCTACGATTTGTGTCAACGCATGATGCAAATGTAGTCTTTGTTTATAGCAACGGTGAATATACGAGTTTGAATCGCAGTTACG